CTTTTTAATAAGCAACAAGCGACGATTAAATTAGAAGAAAAAGTTACTCAGAATTATGTCCTTGACAACATATGTCAAGGTCAAGATCATTGGGGCTGGGTCCCCTATTCGCTATATTTACCGTACAATATATTATTAATAACATGTCAATCTTAATGATATTACATTAATCTTTTGTAAGGATATATTCGAGTATATGTATATAATAGAGCAAAAATATATATTTATATAATAGATGTATATAATAGATTAAAAATATAGATTAAAAATATATATTTTTACCTAAATATTTCAAATACAACATACCTTCAAATTATGAGAGGGATTAGCAGATTGTGCTCCAACTACTGTACAATGATCACCCGCGTATGCCAATGGAAGAGGAATATGATCATTATTAACATTTTTCGACATGATGTATTGTTTTGTGTGGTGATAACCTGCATCTGTTAATATCTTCAAACTTGCCTGTGATTTATAATTCTATAAGACAGAATAAATTAATATAGATAATTCGTACAATATAAAGATAAAAAAACTACAACTTAAAGTATATTAAAACGAAAAAAAAAATTTGCAAATCCATTATAAAAAAACATACTACATCTGCTCCAAATTCCACTAAAAGATCAGCAATGAAAATATGTTTTTTCTCACAAGCGTATATCAAAGCTGTACGCCCCTCTTCCGTTTGAGCATGAATATTTGCTCTAGACTGCAATAAATATTTCACAAGTTCAAAGTGTCCATTGTGCGCGGCAATCATCAATGGTGTACATGCACCTAGTTCTATATTTGCTCGTTCGTTAATTAAAAACTGGGCAATTTCCAGAAAACCGCCGTAACATGCTAAGGTCAGTGCCGTTTCTCGAGTTTTAGTTTGAGCGTTGACCTTTGCACCTATTTATTAATTTTATTTATATTTATATTCAATTAATTATATTTATATTCAATGATATTTATTTATCATTGAATCCATGTAACATACCATGGTTTACAAGTAAAGTGACCATTTCTTTGTGGCCCTTACGTGCTGCCTGCATTAATGGCGTGTATTGTTTGCCATTTGTTTCGTCTATTTTTTCTCCACGTTTAATAAGTATTTTTGCCAAGTCAATTTGGCCGTTATAAGCGGCTAACGTTAGTGGTGTTTCTTGTACGTCTGCCGGCACTTGGGTTTCTACGTGACCATCCATCCTGAGAAATTCAGTGATTTTTTCATTTTTTTACAATATAAGGATATAAATGGTAGATTTTAACTGTAGTAAAGCACTAAAAGAGATAGCAGTATTTAAAGCAATATTTAAATCTATGTGTTTCTCTTTCTACATTTACATTTATTGATATATACACACTTGATTATCTATAAGCTCATTTATCCATACATATACGGTTTTGATCGGCATATTCGCGGCATACTGCGCGATGACCTTTACAAAAAATGTAACAGTTGACCACTTGTGGTACGGCGGTACCGCTGTCATTGTGCGGCGATGCGACGGTATTGTTTGAAGGGACGCCGCGCTATTATAAGTAGCGCGAGTTACGTGACATATGGTGATAAGAAAAGTGGTAGCGTTGATCCGAGAAAACGATAGTATTGCTATTCACATATATACGCATACATTTAAATACACACATTTTCGGAAAATCCGTTCGTGGCGCGCAAATTTTTGTTTGTTAATAACTTTTTAATAAGCAACAAGCGACGATTAAATTAGAAGAAAAAGTTACTCAGAATTATGTCCTTGACAACATATGTCAAGGTCAAGATCATTGGGGCTGGGTCCCCTATTCGCTATATTTACCGTACAATATATTATTAATAACATGTCAATCTTAATGATATTACATTAATCTTTTGTAAGGATATATTCGAGTATATGTATATAATAGAGCAAAAATATATATTTATATAATAGATGTATATAATAGATTAAAAATATAGATTAAAAATATATATTTTTACCTAAATATTTCAAATACAACATACCTTCAAATTATGAGAGGGATTAGCAGATTGTGCTCCAACTACTGTACAATGATCACCCGCGTATGCCAATGGAAGAGGAATATGATCATTATTAACATTTTTCGACATGATGTATTGTTTTGTGTGGTGATAACCTGCATCTGTTAATATCTTCAAACTTGCCTGTGATTTATAATTCTATAAGACAGAATAAATTAATATAGATAATTCGTACAATATAAAGATAAAAAAACTACAACTTAAAGTATATTAAAACGAAAAAAAAAATTTGCAAATCCATTATAAAAAAACATACTACATCTGCTCCAAATTCCACTAAAAGATCAGCAATGAAAATATGTTTTTTCTCACAAGCGTATATCAAAGCTGTACGCCCCTCTTCCGTTTGAGCATGAATATTTGCTCTAGACTGCAATAAATATTTCACAAGTTCAAAGTGTCCATTGTGCGCGGCAATCATCAATGGTGTACATGCACCTAGTTCTATATTTGCTCGTTCGTTAATTAAAAACTGGGCAATTTCCAGAAAACCGCCGTAACATGCTAAGGTCAGTGCCGTTTCTCGAGTTTTAGTTTGAGCGTTGACCTTTGCACCTATTTATTAATTTTATTTATATTTATATTCAATTAATTATATTTATATTCAATGATATTTATTTATCATTGAATCCATGTAACATACCATGGTTTACAAGTAAAGTGACCATTTCTTTGTGGCCCTTACGTGCTGCCTGCATTAATGGCGTGTATTGTTTGCCATTGCATCTGTTAATATCTTCAAACTTCCCTGTGATTTATAATTCTATAAGACAGAATAAATTAATATAGATAATTCGTACAATATAAAGATAAAAAAACTACAACTTAAAGTATATTAAAACGAAAAAAAAAATTTGCAAATCCATTATAAAAAAACATACTACATCTGCTCCAAATTCCACTAAAAGATCAGCAATGAAAATATGTTTTTTCTCACAAGCGTATATCAAAGCTGTACGCCCCTCTTCCGTTTGAGCATGAATATTTGCTCTAGACTGCAATAAATATTTCACAAGTTCAAAGTGTCCATTGTGCGCGGCAATCATCAATGGTGTACATGCACCTAGTTCTATATTTGCTCGTTCGTTAATTAAAAACTGGGCAATTTCCAGAAAACCGCCGTAACATGCTAAGGTCAGTGCCGTTTCTCGAGTTTTAGTTTGAGCGTTGACCTTTGCACCTATTTATTAATTTTATTTATATTTATATTCAATTAATTATATTTATATTCAATGATATTTATTTATCATTGAATCCATGTAACATACCATGGTTTACAAGTAAAGTGACCATTTCTTTGTGGCCCTTACGTGCTGCCTGCATTAATGGCGTGTATTGTTTGCCATTTGTTTCGTCTATTTTTTCTCCACGTTTAATAAGTATTTTTGCCAAGTCAATTTGGCCGTTATAAGCGGCTAACGTTAGTGGTGTTTCTTGTACGTCTGCCGGCACTTGGGTTTCTACGTGACCATCCATCCTGAGAAATTCAGTGATTTTTTCATTTTTTTACAATATAAGGATATAAATGGTAGATTTTAACTGTAGTAAAGCACTAAAAGAGATAGCAGTATTTAAAGCAATATTTAAATCTATGTGTTTCTCTTTCTACATTTACATTTATTGATATATACACACTTGATTATCTATAAGCTCATTTATCCATACATATACGGTTTTGATCGGCATATTCGCGGCATACTGCGCGATGACCTTTACAAAAAATGTAACAGTTGACCACTTGTGGTACGGCGGTACCGCTGTCATTGTGCGGCGATGCGACGGTATTGTTTGAAGGGACGCCGCGCTATTATAAGTAGCGCGAGTTACGTGACATATGGTGATAAGAAAAGTGGTAGCGTTGATCCGAGAAAACGATAGTATTGCTATTCACATATATACGCATACATTTAAATACACACATTTTCGGAAAATCCGTTCGTGGCGCGAACACGTTCGCGCTTGTCAGTCTCAGTGCGAACACGATAGCGTGAAGATTGTAATTGCGTTCGCTTCTCGGATTTTTTTAGTTACTTTCTAGTCTATATAGTTTAGTTTTAAATAATTAAGTTTGTTTAAAATTAATAATAAGTAGTAGACAGTAAGAAGTGAATTAGATACAGTGATAAGTGAAATAAGATAGAGAAATAAGAAAGTAATATTTCAAGATGCGGCGCGTAGGAAGACCAGATAAAATGGATAAACAAGTTTTGACAGAAACTTTAATAAGATATAAAAAGGAAATTATAAAAGAAGATTTTCGAGTAGTATAGAATAATTAATAAAATAATAAATTCGATATGGATTCAAATCGCATTGCAATTAGATAATGTTATGACACCCAATGCGCTATATACATTTGTAACGTGCAATAAATTTGGAATAAGAGATAAATTATGTGATCGTCCTTCCGTTCCTGTGCAATATGGAAATAATATTCAAAATGAAGACAGAGAAGAAGATGAGAATGGAGAAGAAAATATAAATAAAACAAAATCTACAACAATGTTTGATTCAACATTAAATGAGTCAAGTGTACGTTTCAGTAATGCGGATGGTGTATCTACTTTTATCGTAAGTGTACCTAAGGAAGATTACACTTCAATGATTATCCACAAAAAATATCGAAGAGCAGAGAAGAATCGACCTGTGTCTACACGAGAATATTCCGTATTACAACCTGGATTATGGCAACATTTCTTTAGTGAAAAAATATGGCAAGCTACAAAAATATCTTGTGGATTTAATTTTAAACGCCATAAATTATCGCATAATGGAGAATCCGGATATGCATGTGGCACATGTAAATGTGGATCTGTAATTAAATGTGTAATTGATAATTCTGAGGAGCTTGCTACAATTAAATTGTACTTATATCGAAAGTCAAGGACGTTGTGGAAAACGATATCTAAGGAATCCGGTAAGACAAGCATCCTACAAATATCCTGAACCATCCTGGACATATTCAGGATGATCCTGAGGACGTTTTGTGCTGTCTGGGGTACTTTTGATAGTATTTTGCAGCTCTTTATCGCTGCATATTTTGATAAAGATAATATTAAAGAATTGATTAACACTGAATCTAATAACATCTTTTTTAAATTAATTTGTAATATGGTATCTTATGGTGTATGTAAATCATGTTATAGATTACGTGCTGAAATCTTAACGCAAATATTTTCAGGTAATACTTTATCAAATAATTGTATTCTAATAGATTGTCAAGTAACTGTTGGTTTTTTGTGTAGCAAATTATTCGCACAGTATCCAACGTTCCGGGAAGTATCAAGATGTTTGAATTGTTGCACAGAAAAATTGAAAGTGCTTCCACTGGTCAATGTTGAATTTAATGCATTCATACGCAAGGACTTTGCGCAATTAGAAAAGGATATTATTATACTACCACAACGATGCAATCAAACAAACTGTGATGGTCTCGAAATTACATCCATTTCGCATACAGGTATTAATTTTTATTTATTAATTTTATTAATATAATTAATTGTATAATATTACTTATTTTGCGTAATTTCTTAAAGTTTATGCGTAATTATATTTTTTTAAATAAAATTTATAAGTTATTTATAATTATTAAAAAAAATAGAGTTATTAATGTGATTGTTTCATTTTTAGGATACTTTCTCATATTCGAGGTTTACTCAAAAGATGAGGAGTCGTTCGATGTCAGATTGGACGATATTCCCAAAAAAATAAAGTTCTCTTTTATGACGGAAGAACATTCTCTAGTAGGCATAGTAAATTATAAATCACCTGTAAAACATACAAGACATACAAATGAAGACATTGGGCATTATACTGCACTATGTCACAGAAAAAATAAGAAATGGGTACAGTATGATGATTGTAAAGACTCAGAAACTATTTTAAATGATAAATATGTTGCATGTCCACACCTCATTTTATATTCAACATAGATATATGTAGAATAAAATACGATATACATATATAATCTTTTATGTATACATTCTTTATATATAAAAATTATAAATCTATATTTTATTTCAATCTACATAATTATATATATATTTTTTTTAAATCATATCTGTGATAT